AGCTGCCGTAGTCAGCTGCGCTGTGCATTATGTGATGAGGAGACGTATTTGTTGACAGTTACTGCTTTAGCAACATAGCCCCATGGCAGCTTGCGGACAAACTTGGAGTTGTGAGGAGGTGCGGAGCCTCATCGAAATTTGGTCTGATGATCATATTAGGTCCCAACTTTTGAAAACTCACAAGAACACCGCAATATTTTCATTATTTAGCAAACAGCTCAGGGAAAGGGGGTTTAATAGATCTGTAGAACAGTGCAGGGTTAAGGCAAAGAAACTCCGCCAGCAGTACATCCAAGTGCAGGATGCACTTAATAAAACGGGCAGCTCAGGAAAGGAGAATTCCATTGGAATTTTCCCGCACGTTAATTCTGACCAAATAAAAAGCAGTTTACGAAATACGTTTAATGGCACAACTGGCCAACGAGTGATGTAGATGTTGTCACATGACTGCATTTTGGTTCGTTTCAACTGGTTCGGACCAGAGCAATCAGTGTGGTGTGAAAAGGACCCAAAACGGCAGAAAAATGCTACAATGTATCATTTGTTGCCCTTGGTCCGGACCAAATGAACCGAACCACAGATGTGAAAGCACCCTAAGAGTCTGTACTTATGGTCTGTACATATAAGTTTGCCAGATGTTGTCTCCACAGTCAATGTCATTGCACAATGTTGAGGAAACATTAGACTGGCTCATCCCACCACAGTGCCAACTCAGGTAGGTAGGTAGGTAGGTGGGTGGGTGGGTAGGTAGGTAGAGTGCTTTATTAATCCCCAAAGGGAAACTGTACTATTACAGGAGCAATTCAGATAAAACAAGACAGTAAAGTAGGTTTATTAACTATATAACTGTAGATTAAATAAATGTAGTAGGAAAATAATAAAAATAAAACTATATATCTGTCAATGTTAAGAGTCTTGAAAAATCTCCCACTGGTTGGTGGACAAGCCAGCAATTGCAGTCACTGTGGCATTGTTTAAAATCGGATATTGCTTCTCTTACTTGGGTGAAATATTCTGTCGTCCAAAGAAAACGGAGAGCTACATTTCCTACAAAGATCAGCTGTACATCCATAGTTATTCCACCAGCACACAATCACCTCAGATACTGCAAGGACCAGGTCCTAATGAACAGTAATGTCCAGAAAAGACCAGGTTCTTCCTACCAAATGGCACAAAAAATGGGATCCTGTATTTCCATGCACTGAACCAAAGGAAGCCAATGCTCCCACAATTTAAGACTGACAATACCATGCTCCCCTACCTATTTTAGGACTATAGTTTTAGCCCTTTGTTGATACTGATGTTTAAACAGTTACTCATTTTCATACTGCATATCCATCGAAGAGAAGCTGGAGCCAATCCCAGCTGACTACAGGCACAAGGCAGGGTGCACCAATCCAAGGCAGGACCAACACAAAGACAGCTGTGACAAACAACTATTTGCAGTTTTGAGTGATTTAGAGTAGTCACTTGACCTAATCTGCATGGCTTTGAACTGTGTTAGGCAGAGGTGGACAGTAATGAAGTAGATTTACTTGAGTACTGTACTTAAGTAGAGTTTTTGAGTATCTGTACTTCACTTGAGTAGTATTTTTTTTTGGAAACTTACAGTATGACTTTCACTTCACTACATTTGAAAGACAAATATCATACTTTTTACTTCACTACATTTCTATCAAGGGTCTTGTTACTCGTTACTGTTAATTCTGATACTTTCTTACTTACTGTACTTTCTTCTTAAAGTACTGTGCCACTGCCCCTGTTTGAACGCATTAGGATTAAGCTGGTGATCTGCTTTCCTTTCCATTTTGGAGACTTTACAGCTAAGCAAGCTGCATGTTTGGATTTGTGTGTTCTGCATATATGAGACTAGCACACTAATATCATATTATATGTCAGTTCATTCTGTTCATGTTCATCATCAAACTAGACACTTTAATGTGACAGATATTTTTTGGATGCTTATCAGCTGAAATAAATATCCCAAAATGATTTCTGAAAAGTGTACTGGTTGACACCGTGGGAAGCATNGTGCTTTTCCTTGGATTACGTTTCTGTCTCATGTTTTGGATTTCTCTGCCTGCTTGTGGATTTAAATAAACGGACGAGTTTCCACGACAGTACTTTCTTTCTTCTTAATGTGACAGATATTTTTTGGATGCTTATCATCTGAAATAAATATCCCAAAATGATTTCTGAAAAGTGTACTGGTTGACACCGTGGGAAGCATTAATGTAGATAATGTAAGTCTTACATTAAAGATGTTGTAGAGAAAGTCTGTAGTCTTCTTATCTAATTTGGAGGTCTTTACAGCAGCCACAGGCTCACAAAGATTTCTGCAGTCAAAATAAATAATTTTATGATTAGCAGTTTAATTTCCTCCAATAAAAGATAGTGTTAAATAAAAAACAAAATTACCTTCCCTTTGAGGATATCCTTCTTGTTTTGTAACTGCTAGGTGTATGCGGTCTAGCTCGGAAGGAATTTTGTCGAGAGAGAGAGAGAGAGAGAGAGAGAGAGAGAGAGAGAGGGAGAGAGAGAAAAGAATGTACTTAAAAAAAACACTTTGCTGTCTAATAATGTTCAATAAACACAAATAATCCGTACATATTGTATGTACTCTATATATCCAAAAGTATGCACACATGACCATTACATTCCATATGTGGTTCTTCCCAAAACTGTTGCCATAAAGTTGGTAGCACCCAATCGTATAGAAAGCATTTGTATGCTGTAGCATTACAGATCCCTTCACTAGAACTAAGAGACCCAAACCTGTTACAGCATGATGATGCCCCTGTGCACAAAGCCATAAAGACATGGTGCGTTAAGGTTGGTGTGAAAGAACTTGAGCGGTCTACAGAGCCCTGACCTCAACCATACTGAACACCTTTGGGATGAAGTGGAACACCCCAGACCTCCTCATGAAAATCTAATAGAAAATGTGAAGCCTTTAATACCAATAAAATAAATCTAAAATAAATCGGATGTACAACAAGCACATATGGGTGTGATGATCAGGGGTCCACAAACCTTTGGGAGATAGTGATTTGTTTGAGTTTTAAAAAATAATACTGTATAAGCAACCATTTCAGCCATCCATGATTAGCTTGCCCTCTTCTGGACAGCACTGAGCATAATTAATTATTTTCGTATGTAATAGTAAGGATCAGTATTTGGTAACTTTACTAGTGGATGATTTTCCTCTGGGTTTATAAGCTTATTCATGACCTGGTATGTTGTCATTTGAGATCTTTTCAGTGTGATGAAGAGCAGAGAAAGCACTGAAGCTTATCTTTTAACTGTTTACTTGAGTTGAATCTAAAATAGAGAGCGGCTTGGATTGGTCACTCTTAAGAGACACACATCTGGATGCAGGAGAATTTGGCCTTTCCTCAGTTCCACTAAAGAGTACAGAGAAAGCATATTTTGTTGAATAAATTCTGAAGCACCTGTATATGATAAAGTCTAGTCCAGGGGTCAGCAACCTTTTTGACATGGAGTGCCAATTAGATATTTTCCTGGAGGGGGGTTGACGCGTATTTACCGGGGGGGGGGCGTATTATGGAGCCGGGGGGAGGAAGGGGCTAGGGCGTCTTTGGCGAGCGAGGGGCTGCGTGTCACGCTGAACATCTGATCCTAACCCTAACCCTTTGAACATGTGCTCCGAGTCCTAACCCCCATGCGCAGATCGGATCGGCAGGCGGCACGGATCGTGTACTGACGTTTGTACTCCATCGTGTTTATCCCACGTTGTGGCATGTGACGTCACGAAAAGTCCATCAGCGTGCCAACATTCCACAAGTGGCACGTGTGCCTAAGGTTGCCGACCCCTGGTCTAGTTATTCTCGCAAAATAAAGATTATCAGGTGGATCATAAGGATCTTTAACAGCACCATCATGGACACAGTGAAGAGTTCCAAATTCCTTTGTGTGCATATAAAAGAGGACCTCATGGAGACTTCCAGAAGCACCTACTTACCCAAAAAGCCGAGCAAATCTTACCCTCACCCTCCTCATAATCAACAGGTTAACTATAGAGAGCTAATAGAGGTGCTTACTACTAGGAGAATTAAACCATTAACATATTGTTAGCCTAGTAGTCTCTTATTACAGTATTTGAATATTTGCCTTTTTCCTCTTTATAGTATTCAAAAGTATTCAAAGTTTTATTTTTTGGTTGATTTTCTAATTATTTCACATGTGTATCATGTATGTTAACCCAAAAAGTAAGCATGTGTTCAAAGGTGGTGGACTAGACAATACTGACAAACCCTGTCTCTGATAACTCTGGCAACCTCAAGTAAATTTAATCATCTAAATAGGTTGATGATTAAACAAACAAACAAACTGATCAGAAAGGCTAGACCAGGGGTGTCCAAACTATGGCCCGTGGCCCGTTCTTAATTGGAGCGCAGCAAATTCTAAATATATAATGGAATATGGCCCGGACATGAAATTTGTGGTTTACTATATTGTACTTCTTAGTTTTAACATTAGGTGGAGCTACTGCTCTCTTCAGTCCAAAGCAAAAGTCCAAAAGACACACTGACTACGCTGCAACGAGCTCACACTGGTCACGCTCATTGTGGAGTCTATGGCATGGACCAAGTGTCTGGGTTTCTACACTCTTACAGTTGTCCCAATTCTGAGGTAGCAAGTAGTTCTCGTCTCTTCCAAAGAATCATTTTAGACACAGATCGTCAGGGGTTATACTGTTACCATTTGATTTAGAAGTGGTAGGGAATTTTCCCCCAGGGGCAAATGTGATTCTGGTTACATCATGAGCATGCATGGGAGTCAAGTAGGACAGCATCTTAGACATTTTCACCACAAATTACTGTTGGACACAATGGTCAGAATGCACCCCTAGTGTCACAGCAAGAAGATTTTGGGTTGGAACCTGCCGTACTGTTGGGGCCTTGCTGTGTGGAGTTTGTATGTTCTCTCCATGCATGCATGGGATTCCTGTGTGATTAACACTGCAATAGATTGCTGGGTGTACACCCACCTCTAGCCCGAAGTCAGTTGGGATAATGGATGGATGGATGGATGTTACAGCCCCTGCTTTACTTCTCCATCCATGTCAGCATAAATGAGTTTATTTCTGACCAATAAAAATTATCATAAACAAGAAAAAACTGGCCAATAATTTACAATTAGTAGTTGAATCATTCACTATTATAAAGCACAGCTCACCCGTATGACAAAATTTTAAAGTCAAAACTACAAAAGTGGATTTTGATTTGAGGCTAACAATTCTATTCTGGCAAGCTATTTCTACATACGTGTCTGAGGATGAAATTATGATGAGCAAGACAGTAATGATGGAGGAGAAGTGCTGGATCTTCACATTGGAAATTCAGTATCCCAGCCGAACATTATATTGTACATTGTCCTACATTATATTGTAACGTGGGCGGATTTTGATTTGGTTCCAGCATGCTTTGCACTGTCTTAACACGGCGGTCTATGGGGTAGGGGGCGTGTTCATATGTTCAACATCTGGTTAGTGAGGTGTTAAGTTGGTGGCTTCGGCCCTGTTCTGTGTGTTTAAGTAGGCTTATTAAAAAGCTCCATGCTACCCATTCTCTAGTTCATGCCGTGACACTGTACTGAGTGTGGTTCTCAGGGTGAATGTGTTTCCCATGCTGTACTGTGACTGTGTGGTGAATAAACTTCTCCCAGCCATTTGCATTGGGCAGCAACCAAGCTAACTTGTCTCTCACCAAATGTGTTCCGGCGTAAGAAAAACGCTACACTGGTGTCAGAAGTGGGATGGAGATGAACAAGTTTGAGCACACCGTCGAGGAACTATGAAAAATCCAAGCGGGTCGTCAGGTAGCAGAGTGACTGCTGAGGAAGAAAGAGCAGGGCAGCCGAGGTGAGAGAGCGCACTGCAAGTCCCAACGCTGGATCTCGGAGCGGAGTCCAATGTAGAGTCTCCACAAGACCTGGCGCCGAAGCTGGTGGCAGCTCTGCGCGTGGACGGCCGGCGAAGCGAGCTGCGTCTGCCCACCTACGATGGCACCGTGGCGCCCAACGCGTACCTCACGCAGGTGGAGTTAGCCGTCTCGGGCTGGTCCCCTGCTGAAATCGCCGTCAGAGTCGCGCTCTCGCTGGAAGGAGAGGCGCTCCGTGTACTGGAGGACCTGCGGGCCAGAGAGTGCCAAGACTGGTCGAAACTGCAGGAGGCGCTCCACTTCCAGTTTGGCGCCAGAGATCGAAAACAGGAGGCATGCGAGGAGCTGGCGAGGCGTGAGCAGCGCGCGGAAGAAAAGCTAGGCGCATTCGCCATAGACCTAAGGTGCCTCGCACACCAGGGTTATCCAGAATTCGAGGACAAGGTGCAAGAAGAGCTGGCGCTCCGGGCATTCCTTCATGGACTCCAGCCGCCACGTCTTCGTGAGCACACCAGGCTGGCTGCACCACGTTCGCTCACCGAGGCGCTTCGTGAGGCGGAGCGAGCAGAACTGATTCTGGTAGAACAGCAAGTAGAGGAACCTGGCCGGGGGCAGNTAGTGTAATAGTCCTGATTTGTGAAATGTCATACTTGAGTTTTTCTAGGAGGCAGTGTGAGTTCTGTAGTAGATCAGAGATGTGCTTTATTCCCGCTCAGATCCAGCTCTATAAGATGTGAGGGATTTTCTAACAGAGCTGTAGCCAGGGCTGGACTGGCCATCTGGCGTACCGGGAAATGCCCGGTGGGCCGACGCACATTTTTGGGCTGGCCCAGGGTCCTCCGCTGGATCGTAGGGACCGCTCCCATATACTAAATACACACAAAATTATACTGATATAATTTCTTCTAAGCCTTTAACAACTCTACACATCTTTTGAGTGTGACTTGCAACTTTATATACCTCTCATTTGTGTTATACATTCTTATTATGGTGGGTCTATGGTGTAATTTTTAATAAAAAATTTTTAAAAGAAAAAACCTGTAAAATCCTTAAAACAAACTTAAAATATAATACATAGTAATGTTTTGAAGTCAAACTAAGCTGTTCCTTTTGTATTTAATGGTTTTCCGTTTGATAGATTTGCAAAAAACTGCAGTGCATGATGGGTAGGATCTAAAGGCTGCCTAATGTCCTCATCCGTCTTACGACTGTTGCATATGTTGGTCCAGAAAGTAATTAAATTTCGCCATGTAGGCTACGTTTTTAAAAACTGCTTTTTGTTGGATATGGCCCAATTATATGCCATGGACCTTTTAATTTGTTTGTTTGCAATTTCGCCAGGTAGGCTACCTTCTTTAAACTGCGTTTTGTTAGACTACATATTTCAGGATGTTTTATTGTAGTCTTTGTAAATGTGTATATAGTTTAGCCTAAGCCAGCCACTTAAGGGTGCAAGCCAGCTCAACTGCCGATCTCAAGCCCGGATTAATGGGGAGGGTTGGCGTCAAGAAATAAAGAGACTATCTTCACTGCATCACTGATGTCAAAATGTGGGAAATATGTGGTTGTATAAATAAATGCGTTAAAG